ATCTCTGCATTCCAGACACATGTAAAATGAGAAATGTTTCATCACCCCTCTGCTGTTAATTACATTTGGCAGAATTATTATACTTTTGAGAAAACTACCATACAGTGAAATGTCAGTCATACACACTGAACCATTTCTCTGTCTACAAATAAGAGGCAACATCTGTGACATGTAATAGGCAGCAACGGATATTCCTAAGACAGAAACAGTTCTGTGGCTTAAAGGTGTCATTTCATAAAAGACTAAAGTACACGAATGTGATAGGTAGATGTAGCCTTTCATATCAAAATTATCAGCCACCTTAACATAGAAAAGGAAAATGGCCAGTATCAGGACTTTGAAGGGCACACAATATTTCTTGCATTCATCCCTGTCAGCAGTTCAGTAAGGGAAAACCAAAGGTTGATCGTTCCACTGATCCAGAAATCTCATACAACCAACTCAATTTCGGTGTCTCACTTCTTTGTATTGAACAAAAAGCTGTGGGAGAAACAACTGCAGCCCTTGCAAGTGTATTTTTATGGCAAGAAAATATTTTCCTTATAAAATGAAGGCTAAAGTAAATAAAAATCGTTATCTCTGTTTATTTATACCAACAGTATGGGAAATATTGAAGAAAAAGATATAGGGCCTCCCATTTAAAAGCATCTGAAGGAAAAACGTAGTGATTAGTCAGATTTTCACTTCAAAGAAAACATTTATATTTTCCTTGCAGTTGGAATACTCCCACACTGCAAGGGTTAAGTGCTCGTTTTGTCTAGGTGCAAAAACAACAAAGTTATACTCCTCCCGAAGCTCCAAGTCAGCCAGTTGTCACAATGTTCTGTCCAGCGTCTCTCCTCCTAAATTGCAGCATTGAAATGTCCATCAGTGGCCTCACGTCTATAAATAGTGTATAGGACGTGATGCTTTTCAGGACCTTAGACCGCTGCACCAGAGGCGGAGAGAGGCCGGAAGGACCGGTCTATGAACAAGCCGCCTCCACAGTTCAGGTGAGTATAACTTTTTTTAACTAGACAGAAATTTGCAGTTAACCCGTGCAGTGCGCGGGAAAGGGTTAATAATTTTTTCCTGGAGTTCTTTAATGTTTCCAATTCAGTAACCCTAATGCAGTAACTGATAACGAAATATGGAACAATACAGGTGAAACTCGAATAATTAGAATATCGTGCAAAGTTCATTTATTTCACTAATGCAACTTAAAAGGTGAAACTAATATATGAGATAGACTCATTACATGCAAAGCAAGATAATTTAAGCCGTGATTTGTCATAATTGTGATGATTATGGCTTACAGCTCATGAAAACCCCAAGAACCCCAAATCCACAACCTCAAAAAAGTAGATTATTACATGCAATCAATAAAACAAGGATTGTACATAGAACAATATCGGACCTCTGAAAAGTACAAGCATGCATATGTACTCAGTACTTGGTTTGGGCCCCTTTTGCAGCACTTACTGCAATTACTTTTGCACGATATTCTAATTATTCGAGTTTCACCTGTAGTTTGTAGGTGATGTAAGGTGGGAGGGAGTTGCCTCTGCAGGATTGTACGTCCTAGTATACCTGTGTTTGCATTGGTGATCATGGGTTGGAAGGGTGCTCCGATCTTACTGAAGCACATTTTCATTATGTACAAGTTAGCAGTTGGTTGCCAAGGTTCCCTCCTGCTACAACACAAGGGGTAGGCATGGGTTGCCTATTGGAAAAGCCCTAGCTGTCTCAGCGCCTTCATGTGGTGCTCATTGAGCAGAGGCTATAGGGCAGCATGCAGTGAAACCATTGCAGAGTGGGGAAGCGTGCTGTCACTGAAGCTAATGGGCTGAGACTGGCGCAAATGTTAAAGGGAAACGTGCTTGTCAAGGCCTAGTGTTGTACATACATGTGTTACTCTTGATAAAGTGGTACTGCACTTTTTTTGAGAGAAAAAAATCACTCTGGGTGATCAATGTACATTGCAAGGGTTTGAACAAACTTTATTGCAGATTCCTACCTTTTTCTAGTCTGAAGAAAAAGCTGTTTGTTTCACCATGTCCTTTCCAACCTGTTCCCTAAATGGGAGGGTCTAGGTTCGCTATAACCACCTGATGCACTTTCAGTGTTCTAATGAGTAAAGATGCAGTGTTGGTATCCCTTTAGAAGTAGTTAACCCTTAGGGAGTATCTCACAAAAAATACAATTTCTACTGCAGGGTATACCTAAAAGTTTACTTGTATTTTAGTGCAGACCTTGAGTCATTCACACAAGTAATATTTCTGGGGGCATTCGGTACACCAATGATATACAGAACACCTCCAGGTTATCATATTGCATTAAATTTTTTTAAACAGTTATAGAAAAATGCAGCATTTTCAGATTTGAAATGAATAGGTAATTTCTAATAACATTAAATTACAACATGTCGTGTGTAGAAATTGCACTGGGAATGTATCCTGGGTGGTAATAAAACTTATGTATCCTTTTGTAGCTTACTTAGTTCTGCTTTATATATATTTCTTATCATTTTAATGAGGGAGCTTAATGAAAGTACTTAGTGTATCACAACTATAAATTTGTTATTTGTCAAAAAAACTAGTATATTAGCTGTGTTGTGATATTCTTGTTGCTATGCTACAAACTTGTGTTTTTTTTTAAAGAGGCTGACACCAACATAAAAATTTGCAGATCGAAACATAGAAAAAAGTATTTTTGAATGCATACTTGTAACGTTTTTCCTGCCCATAAATGTTTTTATTTACTTGTAATGTGCCTTTAAAATATGCACTACTTAAGGAGAGTAAATTCCCTAGCATAGCCCCCTCCTTCCTTGCACGTCATAGCCCTCTCCTCTTCTAGGAGCGTAAAAAAATGTTTATTTTCTTTCTGTGCTGACCCAGGATCACCCCTTCTCTCACCTCCCTACATAACTTTTTATGTAGCTACTGGGAGAGGGAATACTAAAGAGTCTGCTGGGGCTGCTGACATCCAAGATGTGTTACAAAGCAGCAGTTTCAGATAATTTAGTTGTATATGCACATAAAGGCTTCTAGGGGTAAATAACATACATAAAATATGTTAGATGCACATATATTTATACGGAGAAGATTTTTGTCAAAATAAATGGTGGCAGAGTTTCTGAAACCACTTCCCATCAGGCCATTGTAAATAAATGGCCGGATGGGTCACTTTTGAATACGGGTGGGCGTGAACTCTCGTGCAACTGTAGCTTTTTTAACCACACAGTGATGGCTGTTTAAATACCAGCATTCAGGCAGCAATAGAACTGCCCAATTGCGTATACACTGAGCGACCAGATTATTATGGCCACCACATCAGTACTTCGTTGGGCCACTAGATGACTCTATGAGATGACTTCGTTGGACCGCCTCGTGACTCCACATGATGTTGAAAGGTGATGCGAAGAATCTGACACTGCACCGTTGCCCTTCTGTTGTCTTGTACCAGTCTTGCCACTCTCCGTTCTGCCCTAACATTGACGAGTCGCTGACGGCCACAATTCGCGCGTTCAGACCCAGATTTTCGGCTGACAGTCTTTAAACACTTTAACAACAGCTGCTCTTGAACATTTAACGAATTCTGCTGTTTTGCTGATACTTGCTCCATGGCTTGAGCGCCAACAATGATTATCCCACGTTTAAAGGCTGTTAAATCGCGTTGTTTACCGATATCTTTAGAACAAAATCACTTCTACTGTCGTGGTAAACAACCTGCTTCCCTATTTATAATGGTCTGGCCCTCCGCTATTCTGGACTCTGCTGTCCTCCATGCTGGCCTGGGACTGGCGCTGCACATCTGTTCTATTAGATCAGAGGAAGATTACACATCCAGCAGCTGATCTCCGCTCAGATCACTGAACCCGGAAGTGATGTCACTTGCATTCTACATAGGGTACATAAGGATCAATGGCTCCTCAAATAAATGATTACTCTCCAGAGGCACAGGCAATGCCATAGCTGCCTGCTAATGTCAGGCACAAGCCAGATCAAAGTACTTGTTGTAAACCTACAACTTGGGCTAGTGTAATGAGCGGTGTGCCTCAGGGTTCTGTGCTGGGTCCCATATTGTTCAACTTATTTATTAATGACATCGGGGAGGGTGTTAACAGCGATATTTCCGTGTTTGCGGATGACACCAAAATTGGGAGGGTAATCGACACGGACTTAGACATTATAACATTACAGGAGGACCTGGATAAAATAGGGGAGTGGGCATTAATGTGGCAGATGAGGTTTAATGTCGATAAATGCAAAGTAATGCGCTATGGACATAAAAATAAACAAATGGGTTATACAATTATGGGTATGCCGCTAGGGAAGTCAGAAATGGAGAAGGATTTGGGGGTCATTGTAGACAACAAACCGAAAGGTAGCTTTCAGTGCCAGGCTGCTGTAAACAAAGCTAGCAGGATCTTGTCCTGTATTAAGAAGGTCATGTACTGCAGGGACAAGTCTATAATTTTGCCACTTTATAGATCATTGGTTCAACAGGGGTACAGGTACTGCTAGAATGAGATCCTAAGGGGTTGGACCTGATGGACTAATGTCTTTATTCAACCTCAAATACTATGTAACTATGTAGCATCTATCAGATCTTACTTAAAGTCTCCCAGGATCAGATCACTATAGTAGGCATCTTTATATACTGGGTACGTGTGCATTGGTGAATGTGTGTTGACCTGCATAAACAGCATGATGTTTCCACTTATGGCAACCATGCACTTGAGACCAATGAGATGCTAAAATTGATTGTAAAATATGAAATAGCTAAGCTTTAATGTAGTAAGATGAATGAAAGATGATTTCTAATTTGTTGCAAAGTGGCACTGCACTAGGCATCTTACCGGTATCTTTAAAAACTGGTATTTTCAAAAACAAGATTGCTATTAATTCTTTTCTACACTCGTCTTACACTGTAGTTTTTTTTCTTTGCAAAACCAGGATCTGTAACAGTTCATGATTGTTGTTCGTACTTAAAGTTGTTGCTCTACTTGTTTTCAGGTTTCTTCTCTCCGTGGAAAAGTTCCAAGCCTGTAAGTAATCTCTTTTATTGATATTCCTGTTTTTGGGATTGCTAAATTCGCAGATTGTATTCTAAACTGCTGTATAGTATTTATTTATAAAAGTGCAAAACTTCTAGTTCTGTGTAAATGCTGTATATATTTGAATGCAACCAATGCACATAATTTAATTTGCTGAAGTGGAGAAAAGTAAAGGCAATGCTTGCAAAAACATTGCATCTTATTATGGCAGGTGTGACAGTTTTAGCTAAACAAAGGCTGGAAATATGACAGTTTTCAAGAAAACGTTTTTAAATCCTGAAAACTGTGAACGAAATGTGACAGTTTGGATTTTGGAAGGGTTTTGATGGTTTTGATTGTATACCTTGTTTATACAAACTCATGGGTGGAACAGCACAAAAGTAGGCATACAGTTTGATGATCAATTGTCCACGGCTAAATTATATTGTAAATCACGTTTACAGAGAAAGGTTTAAAGTGACATTAAACCCTCAGATTTGTTAACATAAAACAATACTGTAATGTGTGCCTTACTGTAATCCATGGTTGTTTCCCTTCTCTTTGCTGCTCTTCCTTTTAAATCCTCATGTCTTCTCATGCTTGGGGAGAACTTCCCTTTGCAGCTCAGTGCCTCTTCCTGTAGTGCTGGCTCAAGTTACAAACGTACACACAGACACCATGTATCCATTCCAGAGACAAGGCAGTCTGCTGCAAAACAGAAGTTCTGCAGAGCATGAGAACAGATACAGATTTAAAAGGAAGAGCAGCAAAGAGAAGGGAAACAACCATGGATTACAGTAAGGCACACATTACAGTATTGGTTTATGTTAAAAAATCTGAGGGTTTAATGTCACTTTAAGTTCCTTACTCTAATAATAAAAAAAATTCAAATAAGTATTTATTGTTAATACTTTTTTAATATTCAAGCTGTTCCAGTTGAGCGTACACATGCTGGTGTTCGCTCACTTCTCGATCCTGTCACCGCTCTCTGCCGTGACAGGGGAGGGGATGGATTCCCCCCTCCCCGCTCCGATCCACCAGCGCTGACTGGCGGAACGGACGGGGGAGGGGGCGGGTGCAGCTGGCTCTGCCTCTAGATAGGCAGAGCCAGCTGTCACTCACGCAGCTGGGTGGATCTCAACATTGATGTCGGGATTCGCTCCAGCGTCTCAGTATACCGCGAGCTGTAGCTCGCGGTATACTGAGCTTAGGGTGACGGGAGGACGCTAGTTTGTGTCCTCCCGTTACCTTAAGGAGAACTATGGGGAAAAGCCCTGACCCCATAGTTCTCCTTTAACACAGTTATAACAATGAGAAAATTTAATTAATGTAATTAAAAGGCATTATGTATTTGTATTGCAGATGATGGAACGTTGGGAGAATCAAGGAAGCCCCCAGACTAGTTTATCAGCACCATCAATACCACCCAATCTACCATATCCACCAACCTTACACAGAGGTTCATTTCCTGATTCTACAGAGGCCTTTGACCCAAGAAAACCTGACCCCTATGAACTTTATGAGAAATCAAGAGCAATTTATGAAAGTAGGCGTAAGTAAAATGAATGTTTGCTGCTAAAATGATGTATGCATTTCTTTAAAATGCCAATAATAGCCAAGCCTGTCACAGTTTTGTCATATTTTCTTTACTTGTTTAAAATACCTAGAACATGTCATTGTATTAAATCTCTATGCTCTTTTGAAGTTATTTTTGCTTCATTGCATCAGTGACAATGTTACTAACAATCTCAAGCCCTCATTAAGTGTTATAATGTACAAATGTGGGCAGGAAGCATTCTTAATGCTTAGATAAACACATTAAAAAATGGCTTAGCAACAAGTTTCCATTGTTTGTGGTAATTATCATATTTGTTAATCATTGGGTTCCTGTTTCACTTTATTTTTTACAGAAGACTTGAATCCTTTATCTAATATTTTTTTTATCACTGTGAAGTAGTTTTAGATTATGCCTAACAAGTTTGCTTTACTGACATTACCACGCAATTCTGGCATTAGCCAGAAATATTGAATCTTGAAATATTTTTAGGAGTGACATGTTGGCATAATCTTGTGTTTTGACCAGCCCTAGCCTAAAAAAACAACAACTTTTGCCACGGCCTATACTCTTTCACAACAGTGGTGCCATCTCACCACCATTATGACCAAGTAGGCCCCACTAAAGAGGACTATTATTACAAGATGATGGGACTTTTTCCATTTCCTAGCCTGGTCAATTACTGTAAATAAAGGCCATTCGGTTTACAACCACCTGATAGCCACAGGACACTTAAACGATGTTGTGTTTTTGTTTAATATGTCTTCTTTATCACGTTCAGTATTCTGACTCCGATTGTTGTATTAGCGATGTATCCCTTGCTGAGACTTCTGTGCTTAGCCTGTATAAGCAGATATAATCAGTGCAGACAATCCTTATCAGATAGCTGAACTCATCCACGAAGAGCTTTATTGTTTGCAGTAGGTTACAGCAGACAACAGGATACAGCAGATGAATGGATAGATGGCATTTGAAGGTCAAGGATAATGTTTCCAAGCTAGCATGCACATGTGGTCCTGCTATAGGCAGCCATGACACTAACACTAGTTCTTGAAGAAGGGGGAAATAAATCATAGATGGGAGGGAAGAAAAACATGGTGCAACAACCAAAATGCACACAAGATGGTAGTATAATATCCAGCTATAATACATGGCTTAAGGAAAATGAAATATATTAATTCTCACTTCACCTTAATATGAATACTAACTATGACTATGCATTGTGTCATATTTTTACAACTGTGTAACAGAACATTCAGTACTGAGAAATACATACATTTGTATTACCCTTTTAAGTGGGTGAATATAACATTCTGAATATGAATATTTCATGTTTTCCCCTGGCAACCATTAGGTGGGTCTCTTAGCAAATCTAGCTTCAGGCTACAGTTTTACTGCGAAAAAGAGACCTGAGTTTGACACCCCCTTCTCACTTTACTCACAGAAACAGCAACATGTTAACAAGTTTGCCAGAAAGCATAAAATTAGTTCTGGACTTTCTTATCAGAAGGCCCAACATGTTTTCCAAAAAACAGCATCATTTCAATATCCTTTAATAAATATTTGTAAAATATGTATACAAGTAATAAACACAAATGAAACTGTATATAAGTGTGTAAACTTTCAAACCAAAGGAAACAAATTAAATTGAATAAAGCAGGTATTGTCTCCCTTTAACCCCTTCGTGACTGACGACGTACAGTGTACGTCGCCAGACAAAGGAGTTCATGTCTGTAATTTATCTAATGATGTAGGAATGGGGGGACAGATTATCATATGCACTTGCAGGAGCTCAGGGGTTAAATTCCATTAGAAATCAGTTTCACAGGTCAGTTTTTTAATCTTTTAGATAGAATTGCAATTAGTTCATTGTAGTGCAAATGCAGGTCTACACTTGCTGCAGCCCCCATAAACATAATCTTTAGCCTACAGATTTTCTGTTGAAAAATAATTATTTTACAGCTATATGAACATGAAGTGCATTGTTAAATTCTCATTGTGAAAGAAAAGCAGACTGGTGCAATGCAGTGTCATTCGTCCTTTGCAAATTAGCATAATTGTAGGCTAAAAATAAAAAGTCCACCTTTAATGCATCGATAATGATTTACAATAATGTATTTCAAACATTCTTTTGTTGTGAATCTTGACCTCTTCAGATGTACCAGCCATTAAAGTCATTACAATAATGGTTGTTCAGTAGGCATCACTGATTGATCATTGTTTCCAGCTCATACTTGGTGAGATGTCCATATCAAGATTCTGTATTCTGCTACGGTCCAGCCTGTTCCAGACATTTTATAAAACATTAGTTATTTCCAATATATTCAGTTCACATATTTAGCATGATTCCAAATGCTCCTATTTTATAATCAATGGTTTTTTAAAATGTTTTAAGTATTGGGCTATTAATCACTATTGAATGGAATCGTGCTGGCGTGTCATTAAGTGCTATGGTTGCTGGCATTAGTTTAGGTGAATGCACTACTGCCAGAATTCTTCTAAGTGAGACATCAATCATACACTCTTGGGTGAAGGTGTTAGAAATTGCTACAGAGCCTGGCTGCCAAGCTCATTTCAATGAAGAAAACAACATTGATTTTTCTTTCTCGACAATGAATTATTTTGTTTTTGTGATTAAGCTAAACCACAGATAAGAACTCCTCACAGCTGGCATTTAATGTCTCTTGCTAAAATGCATTACAGAAAGTCTGTCAAATATGGCCACCAACCAGTTTTGTAATGATCCAGTATGAGCAAGTGGACTATCTAATAGATTAATTTACACTGCAAATGAAATAATTCTGGACATCATGTAAAGATGTAGATCTCAATTTTATATAAATCATGGTACACAGAATGTGAAATCATCTTTCAATAGAATGATACATAGCCTGCCAAACCTTAAAGTAAACCCCCACAAAAATGATATATTGCAGCATAGGTGTGGTGGCTGCATTAGTTTTGTGTTTTTCAAGTTTTTTGTTTTGTTTTTGAAGAATAAAAAAGCTTTACTAACCTGGTTAACCTGCTAGTAACACATCTGTCTTTCTGTCACTGTACTGTATCTATGGAGCAGCATTACAAGGAACAGGAAGTGTGTTAGGACTACAAAACATCTCGGTCTCTTTTCATTTGCAATCACACAAGATTTTTCAGCCTGGCCTATCTCTAACTTCCTTGAAAATGGTTGTGCAGGACTGTCTGAAGGTCCCCTACAGGCGTTAGACTGTTGCCCAATCTCAAACTGCCTTCTAATGTCTGTGAGCATCTTTAGAATAATTGTTGGGCAGTCTTCTAAGTTCTTATACTGACTTTTTATCTTTTTTTCAGTATGTATAGTAAAATATTTGGTGCCTATTATCCAGGAACAATAAAATGATTGGTGGTATCTATCTGCTACCAAGCTAGGCTCATGATTTGTTATTAAACTCTTACATGACCCAAATTAGTGATGCTAAAATCTGTCCATAATTAATAAAATCGGGATTGCTATGATGGGTTGTTTGCATTAGTGTGGCTATAGTAAGTCCAGTTTGGGAGGGGTAACCAAACGTTTTTTTCTTTTTCATAATAATAAATGTTAGTTTTGCTGCAACAGGTTCTATACATCATATAGATGCGCCACTTTAAACACAGTTTAAGGGGGGACCCCCCCCCAGGCATGATATTTAACCAGTTGACATCCGGGGTGTTAAACCCCCTTCCCATCCAATTTTATTTATATAGATTTTTTTTTTACACTTATTATTAATGCTATTACATAGGGGGATACCATCCCCCTATATAATAGCACAGGTACACTGACAGGTCCTCTTTATGGAGACATTAGGGGTCTCTAGATCTCTAGACCCCTAATGTCACCTGGAGACCCCAAAAGAAGCTGATGAAGCACAGATTTGCTTCATCAGCTTCTTCTCTCTGGCAGTAGGAGCCAGATGACTGACAGGTGAATGCACCCTCCCCTCCCAATGTCTTATCCCTCTTTTGTGTGCGTCCGCGTCTCCCCCCCCTGTTCGATGTATTTGTTCTGCATGGTGCCTAGTGTTTTCTTCTCTGATACGGTTATTAATCGCTTGAATTTGATAAGTAGCGCCATGTAAATGTGTTGTGATATGTGTACTTACCTTTTGAAAACCAATAAAACGAAATAAACCAAAAAAAAAAAATATTAGTTCTAAAAATATTTAATAGCTCATTCTGATAGTGTCTTTTTTATAACAAAGTATCTGATCATTCTGTATCTTATATTCCACTACCAGAAAGAAAATAAACAACCAATAAACATAGGAATATTTATGTACATTTAAAGTGAGACTCATGTCAAAACTGTGGTTTAAGTTTTGGATAGAGGAGGGGAGGATTAAGATAGCCGCACATGGTTTGAATTTGGGCCAATTCAAGCCATGTGTGGTCCTGTTGGCACCACCCAGCTCAACAAAATTTGATTAGAAAATCCTCAGATGCAGTCACTGTTTAGGTATTCATGCAGACATGGATGCCGGCAGCTGTCTGAATACAATAGCCAGCAGTGCAGATTTCTTCATCCACGCTGTTTAGTGCGAATGTGGAACACAATGGCCACCAGCACAAATCGTGAGAGTGAATCTTCCCCGTGGTGAAACAGCCAGCAATAAAAACACACCAGAGGTTAAACCTGTCCCCACTCAACTGATAACTAGTTTTGGATGGAGTTCCACTTTAATACTTCTCACTGACTTCACTCTAAACTAGATAGGTACTAGCTGCTGTGCTCTTATTTATCCAGGTAATACATTAGTGTTTGTAATGTACCCAGCCCTCATATTATCTATATAAAAATGAGCATGTGACTGCGTCCTTTGTTATTTGTGTGTATACACCTTGGTGGACACACATATTACGTATCTCAAAAATTGCAAACATTCATTTGTACCCTATGGCAATCCACATAATCAAAAATGAGCAATGCCTACATATAAATCCCGCTAAAGAAAAAGTTAGCACTAGCAGAGTATCTCTTTTACCTATTCCTGTATCTTTAGCAGTAGAAACACCATACTGATATCTCTCAGGCCAGGAATAACTTAGTACTGCTTGTCCATGTGCAGCTTTTATAACTTTAGAACATCTCATTGAAACTATTGTTCACCAAACTCTTTCTGCAGTTATTGACCTAAAAGTGGAGTTCTGGCATCAGAAGCCAGGTGAGCAGATTGGGGACTCTTTAATATAATGATCTCTGATAAGAAACTCTGTATACTGTCACATGTTGGACATGTCAGCTCCTATGTGATGCTAATAGTTATGTGGGTAGGGGATGGGGGCAATTGAAAACCAACTGATAAAATATAACACACATACATTTAATGCACACATGCACATAATTAAGGCCCCAAGTCACACTTGCTACACATGTGAAATTGTGCAAAATCAAGCTGCAAGTATGTAAAATGATTCATGGCAGGATGCTTTATTTTTTTCGAACTCACTATACTCGCGCAACCAGAACCGAATGTAATGCCAGCTAAAGGGTTATTTTGTGCACTGTTCTGCCATATAGAGAACAGTCTGTTGTAACTGATACTTAAATGTTGAAAAAAGTGCAATTTTCAATAAATGAGAATAGTATATTACAAAAGTTTTATTATTAAAAAATATTACAAAAGTTTGAAGTTCCCTTTCTTAAATTAGTGGTTCACTGTAGGAAGGATTTTTTTTTGCTACAACACCTCCCTATGTTGTCATGTTGACTACTTGTTAAGGCTAATATGTTTATTCATGTTTTGCTGGTTGACTAGTATGGGTTGCCTGACAGAAGGATAGTTTTATTTGATATCCTCATTGAACCTTGTTATTACTTTTTATTCCTGATGAAAATTAAAGATTAAATAACTTTCATATTCAGATGAATATGGCACCCTAACTACTTCTTTAAATTCTATATATGTTGCAGCTTTTTCGGTTGTACCAGTTTCAATCTTCCCACAGCCAAGTAATTTTTGTTAGACCTAACAAATATTTTTATATTCCATAATAATTTGTTTTAGGTTTTTTTTAAGCATTTGTCTGTAGTAGTCCCAGAGTGGGAGAATATTGTTTGTCAGTCCAGAAGTTGTGTTTTTCTGCTTTGAAAATGTGAATTTTTTTCATATTGTTATTTAGTTTGTTTATTTTAATGGTTATTCTACATTTTATAGCACAGAAAACTCTTAGGAATTTTAACATGTCACTTTCATTGAAATACACCTTATACAATTATAAAATATTTACAACCTACATGAGGTGATGTGCATTTAGAGTTTTCTCTTTCTTACGTGAAATTCCTCATCTTCCTATTCAGAACAAGTGCCACCCAGAGCTGGTTTCAGAGCGGATCCTTCTGGCAAGTATTCTTCAGCACACATTGTCCTGTGAAATATGTGTCCACCATTCTGTGTCCTAACCTAAATGTGTGTCCTGTGGTCATTCCTCTAAATAGAGTTCAGTCATGATTGTCTTGTCACATTTTCCTTATTCCTGTTGGAGCCATGTACTTGCACTGCCATATTTACTAGAAATTAAGGAGGCCAGATAGATATAGGGGCACCAAAATAGGGGGAGATGAATAGTGATGTCTGCAATATCAAGTAGGTATTAATACTCTAGCACCAGTTTTGGGGTCACCTTCTATCCCACGCAGTATGAGATGTTGTCATGGGAATGTTGAACAGATAAGCTCTAAGTGCGTTTCCATATCATAAGCTAGGAGTACCTGCTGGTAAAAGAAGCTTAATCTTGCTACAGATCAGCATCTTATGCTTGAAGTGCTATACACAGCCACTGCACAATCACCCTCAGTAGGAACCAACAGGCCAGTTTGAAAACCTGTTCTGATTATTATTGTACTTACTTGTGTTAAGCCAGCTTGAACTTAGTAGTTAAAAGAACAGTTTGCAGCCCACAGAAAATGGCTTGTCCTCAGCAAGGTCAGATCGTGCCTTACAGCCATTCCTTCTAAGATATAATGACAACCTGAGAATGGCTCATGGTGAGTTTCCATACATATCAAAATATGATTCATATTTGAATTTTGTGACTCGGTAAAAGCCAGTTTTAATTTAACCAGTTTGCCTCTGGAGCAATTTTTTTATTTTTTGCACTCATGTAAAAATTTTAATTATTGGCTGCAAAATTACTTAAACCCCCCCACCCCCCTGAATATATACAGTATTTTTGAAAGCAAAGGCCCCACAGAATAAAAAGATTATACTATGTTTCTAGTTAAAAAAAAAAGGTGAATTTTAGTGCACACCAACGCAATCCCCAATTTTTGTGTTGAGTAAAAAGATACCAAATAAGCTAAGGCTCAAGAAATACAGTATCCCAAATTATCAGTAGGTGACATTTTAAATGCTGTTACAGCTCATCAGTTTAGAGTTAATGGTAAATGAGGCATGTAGAATTATTTCTCTCATTCCGGCATGTGCTGCAATACCCAATATGTGCTGCGCAATCGTTGTTTACATACACACGTGTGCACGTGTTTGCATTAGTTTGTGTATGGGGGTGAGGGGGTGATATTTTGTGTATTTTACTAAATTTATATCTTTTAACACTTTTTTTTCACTTACCTTCATATGCTCCCTATGTGATATCATTGGGCGGGTGACAGGTACCCCTTTATGGAGACATCAAGGGTCTCATAGACTGCTAATGTCTCCCTTGCCCACTACTTCTGCTGAAGGGAAGGAGAGGGCAGCACCCAGAGAGTTACATAAAAGTGATCGGATGGCTCTACAGCTGCCCAGATCACTTTTACTAAATCATCCTCAGCCACCAATTCAAAGCCATGATGTACAGGATAAGCCCTGGATAGGGAACTGGTTAATGTTATCCCCAAAAAATGTCAAATATGCTCAATTGAAAAAAAATCAACATTCTTTTATTTCATAATGCCGTTAGTAAGGACAACTAAAACAGAGCAAGAAAAGCTGTTTGTCTGGGCTTATCTCACCAAGTGAGATAATATGCAGAATATTCATCTTCTCCTGAATGGTAGATTTAAAACATACTCCAAGAATAGGTTTCTATTAAATACTTAGAACAATTTATAATACAACAATTCTTGGTGAACTGGTAAAAACCAACCATAGGAATCATTTTCATAGCATCATTTTCCATAGCATGCTTCCCTTCTAGTTCCCATACATGAACTTCTACTCCTTCAAACGTCAACTGACTTTGATTTTTATTATCTATATATTCAATATAACTATTTTAAGCAACCTAACCTTGGGGATGTTTCTTTTGTGCAGGTATGACACTCAAACTAAACTGATTAACCAAAATATTACACAAATGGAACTTGTTTGCTTACTACTCACTCACTATCTCCAAGCTTATTTCCTAAGATTGTTTTGTGTTACACTGGTTTTAAATTCATGAATTTATTGAAAAATGCCTTTAACTATAACCTACTTAAACATTATAACTTCATGTAAGAATATATAATGGTCAACATTAGTTAGGATATATGCTCAAGCTTGATATAATTTTAAAACTATAAAGATGTCGCTTGCTGAGGCAGTAAAAGTTTGAGAGGGATTAAAGTCTTTCATAATGATAGAAAACACCGGAAACAAGTCAAAGATAGAGAACAGTTTCCTAAGACAGTGTGACAGCAATGTGCAAAAATAGCATGCCATCACTCAGCACTCTCAAGTGTAGATATGTAATGTATATATCTGCATGTCAGTTGCAGAAGACTATCATTTTCTGTATAGGGCATGTATCTATTTGTGATCATGCCAGTACCTGGATTTGCATACAAGGAAAGAATTTTGACATATGTGAGCCATCATCTTGGATCATTTGCAAATCAAGGGGGTGCAACACAATCTATATTCTAATATAGAAAATAATCTTAATGAACATATGTAACTGGTTATATACAATGAAAACGTGTATGATTGTGTATGCTTCTTTTTTTCTCGGCATCCCCATATACTAATCACTAAATATTTATAATTTGGTTTGAAACCCTGAACATTAGGTGTTAATGAGAAAAAACATGTTTAAAAAGCTTGTGATACCATTTTTTCATCTTTTCTAATCATGACTACTTTAGTTAACCTCTAAGTAACCTTTTTGATTTGCTGTGTAATGTAATTAACAAGGTAAACAACATTGTTTTTTTCTGTGTTACTGTAGAACAGTCCATTACTGCTTGTGTTGTAATCCATGCCAAATTAATATTATGCATGAACCATATATCATTAGATAAAAGTAGTTGTATTATCTCACTGTAATGTGAATGTGGTGCTGAAGGTCTAATACATTGTAAGCATTAAAAGCTATTTTGTTTGTCAACAGGTCCTGACTTCAAGGAGTTGGATGTTCACCTTCGACGGCAAGAGTCTGGCTTTGGCTTTAGAATACTTGGTGGTGATGAACCTGGCCAGCCTGTGAGTTCTCTTTCACTCTCTAGATGATAAGCATGTATTGCAAGACCCTCTCTTCTGTTTATGCAAGTGTTGCCAAACAATTGTACTAGCCATGGGACATTTAAGTTTTTTGTTATCTACACTACCCTCCTCTGTTATATTTTGTTTTCCCTATGTCCTAACATGTATTACTTTGTGCAGTGCTACTGGGGATCACTAAAAGTAAATAATATAATACATACACGTTTTTTTATTATGCAAGGCCCAAAGGTGTGCATTACAAATGTTTGCCTTGAAGAGAACTATGATTTTAATGACAGTTACATTATTTAAAGGATTTACTAATTACACTCACTCTATGGGACCTATTTATTAAAGGTCAACATTTATTTCACCCTTTATTGTATATATTGATTGTGCCAATAATACTTATACAAAAGATCACAAACTTACAAACAGTTTTATTTGTCGATCCCATGGTATTCTCAAACTAATTTTTTATATGCGAGCTTTCAAATTAATTTTCAAGTCTTCAACTCCCATGTCTTTATAAAATCAGCATGTAAATATCAGTAAAAATAAGACCCAATACATTTATCTTGAACCATGCTTAAATTGTAAAAATCAATCTACTTAGCATATAACCACACGATTAAAGTGACATTAAAGTCAAAAAAAATTTCCACCACCCCCATGTTAATGTTAGCACTTACCATAAATTATGTCTCTTAGTCCGATCTTCTTCTTTCCTGATGTTTTCATCTGTCCCTCCAGCGGTGCGGCGGCTCTCAAATCCAGCGCTGACTCCTCTCTGCTTGCAGACACTTCCGATCCAATGGTGTTTGCATGCGGGTGCACGCGTCCATAGAATTACCTTGCGTCTCTGCTCGTCTCCCGCCCCAGAATCCGAACTGCGCATGCGACCGCCCCAAGATCCTTGGCGGCCGCACGAGCAGTTCCGGATTCTCGTGCGGGTGCGCGCAGCGATAACTAGGTAAGTTTAAACCTCTGTTAAAGCGGTTTTTTTTACTTTTTGCCTGTATCTACTGCTTATCAGCAGTAGATACAGGCAAAAAAAACCCAGAGGCTTTAGGACCCCTTTAATCCTATTACACACACTAAAATGTTGATGTATACAGAAGCAACACACTGGGTGGTTAAAGTAGCAAAAGCACCATAGGGGAAGGGTTAATTCAGGTTCATAGAACAAAGTTTAATTCTAAAGTTACTAAATCAATACTATAAATGTTGTAAAGGTTGGCTAGATTAGCTTGATTGCCAACTAGTATTGGGGTGATATATAAAAGAAGTGTGTCCGTCAATGCATTTATATATTTTGCACTATCCCCAGAGGAGATGCTTGTTTAGTAGGACCTTCTGTTAACAGAGGTGATGACCCACTCAGGTAGTATTTGAACTCACCAACACACCAGGGCTTTACCGTGGTTTTAGTGGGCAAACATGCCTTGTAACAGGTTAAGAGATGGCAATACACAGTAATTCACTGCAATATAATACAATTATACCAAACATAGTAATGTAATGGACATAGATCATAGATACAACCGCACTGTAGAGAAGCAAAACTGTTCGCAAAGGTGGTACTGATGAGGGGCCTAACTAATATCAAGAAGCACTTGCTAAACCGCTGCCCCGGTTTCTAGGAAATATGGTATATTAGTAAAGTTCTGAATTCCAGCTTTTGGAAATGAGACTGTATTCACTATAACTCATTTTTCTGTAATGTAATACCTCACAGTTTAATCTCCATGGCATTTACAAGTGTGTAAATGCAGTACAGTGTCCATAAACAGTTTGTGAATTGCCTTGAGTACAGAATACAATTCAAGTAATAAATATTCCTTCGGCATCCTCTATTATATGCATTTATACACTCAGCTTGCCAGCCTTGCCTTTGAAGGCATAAGCTTGAAGAGTATGAATTTAAGAAGTGAGGATTAAAAGGCCTATTTTGGAGCTTTATCTCTGAAATGAAAGCAACATAAAATGTATGATCTACACACCGCTCTTATAGCTGAATGCAGCTTAGTGATGGAGACCTGTACTCATTGTAAGAAAAGCATTTTATGTGATGAACATAATATACGACTGAAATCTAAAACACTTCAATACTGAATTTATTAAACATGTTGTGCGCATGCGACTATTCTAGTATACATGTCACCGATGTTGTTTGTAGAGAATAAAAAACATGCAATGTTGGGGATGTCCTTTGAATGTTAAATTTTTATCTCTTGTCAGATTTGTTTCATTCATCCATGTGATTTGGCAAATAGTGTTAAATTGTGTTGACATCTAAGTTGATAACTGTGCCTCACAAGTCTTCCATTTGCCCTGTTAATATTGGTCCTGTAATCTGTGTGTTTGTTATACTCACAGCCCTCTGCAATGTAAATGGCTCACAGCGCATGGTTCATACACAAGAGGCATATGCCTTGGGTCTTCTAACAAATGCCTCATCTTATGGATTACCTCATCTTCATTGATTTGGAGAGTTGTGCAAGAGAATGACCTGCTGAGTGCACATAGCCAATTCATTGCATCTACTGCATCCTGGTCATTTGACATGTGACTGAATCTCAGCAACCATCCCCTCCATCAGGAGATGAATAGTTTGCTTCCAATGGCAAACTGTCCAGACAGACATTATTCACATGGTAGTCTCTGTAATATACCTACCCTGAGCTTGAGATACTTGACATTTTTTCCTTGCAGACGTGTGCAACTTAAAGGGGATGATTTACATAAACTGGACCTGTTTTTTTGTAGGCAAGTCTTGTTTTTTTGTAGGCAAGTGTTCTATGGTTTCTACTTTTATTCCAGGTCTGCTCCTTTTTTTGTGCTGACAGCAAACAACTAAATACAAATGGGGGAATTTATCAAAACTGGAGGAGACAAAATCTGGATTAGATTTGCACTGCAACCAATCAGCTTCTCCGTCTCATTTTCAAATCTTACCTGAGCAAACTGAAGAGAGATGCTGATTGGTTACCATGGGCAACTGCTCTAGATTCTGTCTGCTCCAGTTTTGTTAAATTCCCCCCACAGTGTTGCACATGTGAACTATCTTATCTGTCAATAGATTTATAATTCTGTTCGGCTACTTGTTTGATCCAAACAACAGAGTGTGACACCACTTTAGCATTAAGGAATGCAGTAGTGCCAACTCCCCAAATGCAGCCTCCTGATTGGCCAATGAAGGAGCAGCAGCAGCACACTGATAAGTCATAAACTCCAAGAGCTGGCCTTCCCTTTGCCTTTACTTTGCCATTGTGACTGCTGCTATGCAAAGAAAGACTGGAGGCTGATTTTAGTACTTATGCTATTTGTATGCAAAGAATAAATTGAAGGTGTTTTTAAAGAATACATAATGGTGTTAAATTATGTTTTATATCTACATGGAGTTCAGGGTAAATACAGCCCAGTATGTCATTTTACTAACCCATTAAGTTTAAAAGGCTATCATTTTATTTCAGCAGGTTAGAAGAACAAAACATTAAGCGCTACACTGATATTTAACGCGTAGTTTAAAATTTTAGAAAGGGAAATATATGCATATGGCAAAACTGTGCCCAATTAGGTGATATATAGCGTACTCATCCCATCAACAACCAGGTGTATAGTAACTTCTGCCTGCCCTTAATTTGTGTAGAGTGCTGCATGTAATTACTATGTGTAAATAGTATGTCTCATACATTTGTTCATGAAAGGAGCAATAATTTACCTTCAAGTCTGGGTTTTCTTTGTAGTTAATGGTCAGGAGATTATCTACAAGAAAATATATAACTGTTATTGTACTAATGTTAACCAACTGTAACATTTTCCCCATGTTTTAAATGTAATTAATGTATAAATCAATCCTAGTAATAAATGCAACATAACTTTGTGTATACTTCTCTTGATAGAATTTTTATATGTAGTTAAACTGACCAGTAACCTGGTATCTTTCACCATTTAGATTTTAATTGGTGCTGTGATAGCAATGGGCTCAGCAGACAGAGATGGCCGGCTACGACCTGGTGATGAATTGCTCTATGTAGATGGAATTCCAGTTGCTGGTAAAACTCACCGATATGTGATTGATCTCATGCATAATGCTGCTCGTAATGGACAAGTTAATCTTACTGTGAGAAGAAAGGTGCTATCCATAGGTAGGTTAACCACAACAAACAAAGCACAGCAACCCACATAACATTTTTATTTACAGAAACACTTTGACGCTTTATCTTCTCATTGAGGTGTGATTATCTTCTTATTTAAAATGCTGTTGATGTCCAAAAATCAATTGCCTTCGTAGTTTCCAACACACAGAGGCTGTAATGTCACTGCCATTGAGATATACTGTATCCTGATCTGCACATCTGCATGATAGTTTTGCACAATTTACTTGTGCTCGCCTGGTTCCTTTGAAGAGCAGTACACTAGAATGTCACTTCTAGTCTATAAAATATAACACTAACCATTCTATATGGGTCACTTTGCAAAAGAACTTTTCCATTCCATTGCAAAGTAATATGCAAACATTGACTTTTTCTGTAAAAGGGAGGGATAGGCCATGACTGACTTTTGCAGGAAGAGTAGAAATTGTATAAGTTCAAGTACCTATATCTGTAAATCTACTGATTTGTTTTGACATGCAGCTTTCACTAAAGGTAATATCTGCGTATGGATTTTTTCACCAGATGCTCTGTTTGAATTTCCTAAATTTGTGACAGGTTTAATCTCCAGATTAAAAAAAAAAAGAAGCTTAGTCTTTTACCAGCTTTTTCTGCATTCATTTCAGTAAAGAGACTTTCACATACAGATGAGTTAGTGTGCCCTTACAGCTCCTTCAAGGATCCGACGTTATAAATTCCAAGAAAGAATTATCATGGCAGGCACCAGACTCCCGGTGTCTTAATTCCTTTATTACACCTACAATTGCATTACCTTGGTAGTGACAGCAAAGTGCTAAAATAGATGTGGCTTGATGGCCGCTTTGCTACATTGCATTTTCTCAAAAGCTCACTGCTTGAGAAGGTACACTGCACAATGGTGGGTTTATTTTATTTGTCAGTTTAAAACCAATTGTCTTGCAGCGTGTCCCTGTTTTTGCTCCATACAATCTTCCTTTTATTTTTAAGATGTCAAATTCCTGCTGATTAAAAGTCACTCCACAGTATAATGCTACAATCATCTTATTTTGCAATGTTAGATTTGTACCAAGGTATATCACTTTGAAAGCTGTTTTGGTCTCAACTGATCACAGCTTTTTCCCACATCACACCTGCATTACTGCCATGCTTTTTAGCACGGGATGTATGCTTTCTATTCGACTCCTTAGGCTTGTCAAATAGCAGGTCCCCTTGCTAGCTTCTGTGATTCCTCCACCTGACTCCTTAGTCATTGCAGGACAAAATAGTTATGTAGGAGTCGACGGAGGAACCACAGCAACCAGAAGGGGACACACTATTTCAACACTGAAGTGTGGAATAGGATTGGCGCTGGGAGCTCTGCTACAGAAGCTAAGTTTGCAAATGGGCTACTGGACAGGTAAGTATAATACTGCTGTCTTCACAGTGCTTTAGGTCCTTTTTAAAACCTTTGTCAGGGTCGCTTTAAATGTGATCTGAATCCTGCACCAAAACCTTTTCTATATGTAGAGAATTAGTACCCTGATCTCTATAGTAAAGAGTGCCCTGATCTCTATAGTAAAGAGTGGTAACTCTCAGAAGATAAAGGATTAAAGGAAAACATGTAAAAAAAGAATCTGAAGTTTCAGTATTCTCTTAATATGTAAGGACTCCTTATTAAGGTGCAGATATATCCATGAAGTAAATCCTAACGGTCAACTGCAATTTTCGTTCTCAAATACGCCCAAGTTATCATTCTCATTGACCAATTGGTCCATCTTTAATACAATTTGTAGCATAATATCCCTGTTAACATGTCATGTATATGTCTACATAAACATTTATTGACCTTCCTATATATTTAAGTAACATTGACATTTTTATATGCCAGTGCAGTAGAGCTCTATTTATTGAAAATGTTTTGGTACACCCATACAAACACAAGCATAGGTAGGTCTGTGAGATAATCTTTCAGGGCATAGTTTTCGCTTTCTGATAACTGAACTGACCATACCGCTGAGACATCCAAAGACTTGGATATTTGCAAACCTTTTTAATGTATTTGTATTACTTTCTTTAATGTTCTTTAGTAGGCAAAAAGAACTATAAATTTGTCTTGTCTTTTTTTTTTTTGTTTCTTTTTTGTTATAGGCGATAATTGTCCAGAGAATGGCAGGAGTCCTGGCTCTGTGTCAACACATCACAGCTCCCCTAGAAGTGATTCTGCATATCCAAACAGTAATCATACTACACAAAGCAACGCTTCTCCTCCTGAAGGCTTTGCCTCTCAGAACTCGCAATCCAGTGATGTGGTCATCCACCGAAAGGAGAATGAAGGGTTTGGCTTTGTCATTATCAGCTCCTTGAACAGGCCAGAATCAGGAGCCACAATAGGTATATTAAGAGTATTAAATTCATTGTTGTATTAAATCAAAAGGAAAGAAAAATGTTGGCATAGGATACAAAGCTACAGTGGCTATATAAATAAGTATAATTATACCAACACTGCCACAATATGTAATATATTAAATGGGGACATTTCTAAAATGGTGGCGGAGGTAACTCGTTTGGATTAATAAAAGCATAATGTACATATAAAAACATTTATCTTAAAATCAATGTATAAAGACAAATATATATATATATATAAGATGTCAAAAAAGACATCTTGTCTACTGGACTAATACGGCTTACCCATTTATATTGCACTATATGTATGTGTATATATATATATATACATGCAGTATATGTTAAATCAAATCCTGTGTTGATATATTGAATATAGCTTCAAGCATAAGATGTCACACAATTTAATAAGAGTGAATGAGTTAAATTTCACACAAGTTGGAAATACAGTATATCACATACAGAATCCAATTACACAAATCCTACAAAGCTGGTTGTGATCTTACAGCATACTGTTACTGGAAATATGAATGGGGACAAGTATTAATGTCCAACCAAACATCCGCTTCAGAGATGTTACAGTAGCCTCTGTTATTTGCTGCTGCAAACACCACTGGCTTATTTCTCCATGAGGGATAACTGCCTTAGAGGTGCATGGGAAGACTAGGCCTTTGTGGGTGCTAATAAAATCAAGTCCCAGACTTGTACAGAAACTGTTACAAACTTTTTGATTCTGCATTTAATTTACTTTTTATGGACCTTTTCAAAATACTGTATCTGGTATACTGTATATTGATGTGCAGCTTATTGGTACATATTACCTCTGATTTTCAGCATTCCTACAAACCATTTTTGTGAGTACTGTAAATTGAAATTGTGATAGTACAAAGCATATAGTCCTGAAAAAACAGTCTAGAAAAACAACTAACTGGATGACTATACTGTGATATAGAATATCTCATTGAATAGAAAGTCACAGAATAAGACCTATGGGAATTTGAAGAGCATGCTAATTGTGAAGGAGCTTTTAGTAGAGAGCTTAGTGTAGTTAATATTGCATAATATATGCAATATATTGTAATAAATTGCACTGCATTTATATATACTAATGTTTTAAGCTCATTATAATGTGTGCTACAAATTAGATACATTACATGTACTGTAATGGTAAAATGAGACTGTAAATTAAGTTGTATTGCACTTTTACTTTAAACCAGGGGTCCTCAAACTACGGCCCGCAGGCCAGATCCGGCCCGCCAGGGTCCTTGGCCCGGCCCGATCGGTCGCACGCCCCTTGCCATGGGTAAGGCAGGATTAAGGGAGCTGCAGCTCCAGGCCCCTACCTTAACAACCTCATGGCCGGCCGTTGTAAAAAAACGGCCAGCCGGGAGCTCTCTAGATCAGCCACGCCCACTAGCGCACGCGGGAAATACAGCCAATTTAAAAACAGGCAGACCTCTGCTTCATCAGCTTCTTTGGGAGTCCTAGGTGGCATTAGGGGTCTTGGAGACCCCTGATGTCTCCATAAAGAGGACCTGTCACATCTTTTGCTATAACATCAGTGTTTCTTAGCCCCCTATGTGATAGCAATAAAGTTAGGTGGAAAAATAATTAAAGTTTCCCAAAAATTTTTTAAAGTTACACATAAAAAAGAACTAAAAAAACAATTTTTTTTAAAAACGTCCCCACCCATACATACACGCATGCAAACATGCGTCAGGTGCGCATACCTGCGAAAAGACGATTGCGCCCATTACGCTGCACATGTTACATATCGCCGTGAACGTCGCAGTGAGAGCAATAATTTTAGGGCATCAATCATTGATAACACTAAACTGATGAGCGGTAAAAGCTTTTAAAGCGTCGCCTATGGTCAATTTTGTATATGGTATTTTTTTGCGATTTCGCGAGTGCGAGCAATTTGTAAGCTTGACATGTTTGGTGTCTATTTACCCGACGTGACCCCGTCTTTTATATTTTACCCAAAAATTGGGTGATAATAAATGTTTCCTAACATAATGTAAAAAAAACTTTTGTACTGGGACGGGAGGGGGCGTGGTGGTGCCACGCCCCCCCTGTTTTTCAAACTATGATCTGGCCCCCAGCAATGTCTGAGGGACAGTGAACTGGCCCCATGTTTAAAAAGTTTGAGGACCCCTGCTTTAAACGTTCATTGCCAACAATGTACTTTGTGTTGTGGAAAATTTAAGGAAAAATAATACAGTAATTTGCATTATTATGTGAATTCTCATTAATTCTTTGTTAATTTAAATCCATAATCAATCCTTTAGACCCATGAGAAATATATTACAATTGCATTTTTTTTCCTGCATGATTTATCCTTAAAAAAGCAAGTCATCTGCAATGTGATCTTGAGATGCTAATCACCCATCAAAAATTTGCATCACCTCATTAACCATAACAATTCTTTCACTTACAATAAGAAGAATTGATCAAATATTTTTTTTAATTATTTGTATTTTTTAATGTTTAAGTCTAGATTAGTAATGCTTTTAAAACCGCATATGCTGGGAACACCTAATCTGTTAAGTGCATTATATTGTCGTGGTATATATTTGCTAAAATATAAGAAAACATATGTTCTAATGAGCTGGAAGCCTTATATCTAAGTTTTTTTCTCTTTATTTGGAAATATCAGAAATAATAGTATGCTATGTATTTTTTTCTGCAAAGTAAAAAGATCTGTTTAAGCTAGGAGAAAAAAAAAATCATATTGTACAATACCAGTTTTAAGGAACTACGGTATGAAGAATAGCAAGGCCTTAAATTTACAAAAATGCTGTTCCAGTAGCCAGAATCCCTGGTTTGTAAGTGTGTTTGTCGTTACTGTTATATTTAGCATAAGATGCTAGCCAGTAGTTAGCTTCCAGCTTGAATTTTTACAATCGGCATGAACTGAAAATGTTTAAATCTTAGTGGATCAATATCAAAATGATTACCTCTGTAGTTGGTTATGGATAAACAGACATAGGCTCTACCTTTATACTGTAGTTTGCTGTAACTACAATGTCTACCACACTGTACTGTCTACTCAGTGTTTGTTCTTGTATAATAGAAATACTGTATAGAGTGCCTTGTAAAAGTATTCACCGCCTTTGGTGTTTTTCCTGTTTTATTGCATTATAACCTGGAATTTACATTTTTGAGAGATTTGTACCTTGTGATGTACACAATATGCCTACCACTTTGTTAGAGGCGTCCCCAGGCAGATTGTCACCCGTAGGGGCTGCCAGGATGCCATCACACATGCAATGGACCTGGCAGCAAGGGAAGAGGATGTTTATCTGGCAGGATAAGGTATACCACTGGGTCCCCTCCTCTCTTGTACATGACCGATTGCCGGACTTTTCAGGGGGGGGTGACACCATAACAACTGTGAGTCATTCTTATGGTGTCACCCAGTGTAGGCCGCACCTCCCTTGTGAGGTCACTGCAGGCGGAAAATGGTGTAAAATAATTTTTATTGTAACACAAACAACAATTAAGACAAAAAACACAAATCTTGAGAGTGCATAAGTATTTACCCCTTTTCTATGAAACCCCTAAATAAGATGTGGGCCAACCAATTAACTTCAGAAATCTCATAATTTAGTTGATAAAGGTCCACTTGTGTCCACAAGTGTCATTTGATCTGTAACATGATATAAGTATAAATAAAGCTATTCAGAAGGGCCCCTTAGTCCACAACACCACTAAGCAAGCAAAATTAAGTCCACTGAGCTCTTCATATAGGTCAGAGACAAAGTTGTGGAGAAGTATAGATCAGGGTTGGGTTAAAAGAAAAAAAAATCCCAAACTTTGTATATCCCACAGAGCACTATTAAATCAATTATAACAAAATGGTAAGAATATCGAATTACTACAAACTAAAAAGAGAAGGCCGTCTGGCAAAACCCACAGACTAAGCAAGTAGGGCATTAATCTGAGATGCAACAGAAACCCCAAATATAACACTGAAAGAGCTGAAAAGATCCAGAGCAGAGATGTGAGTATCCACTAGGAGGACCACTTTAAGCCAAACACTTCACAGAGTGTGGCTTTATGGAAGAGTGCCCGTTGTTAAAAAAAAAATAAGAATACCTGTTTAAAGTTCTCCAAACAACATGTGGCAGACTCTCCAAACACATGGAAGAAGGTTCTCTGGTCAGATGAGGCTTAAAATTAGCTTTTTTGGGAAATGCTATGTGTGGCCAGAACCCAACACTTCCCATCACCCCAAGAACACCATCCTCACAGTGAAGCACGGTGGCAGTATCATGCTGTGGGGATGCTGTTGGGAGTCAAGGAAAATGGATGGCACTATATACAGGGCAATTCTTGAAGAAAACTTTCAGTATGCCACAGATTTGAGACTGGGCTGGAGGTCCACCTTTCAGCAGGACAATGTCCCTAAACATACTGCTAAATCTACACTGGAGTGGTTTAATGGGAAACATATAAACGTCTTAGAATGGCCTATTTAAAGCCCAGACATCAATCAAATTGAAAATCTGTGGCCTGACTTGAAGATTTCTGTACACCAATTCAGCCCACCTAACTTGAAGGAGCTGGAGCAGTTGTGCACAAATGAAGAATGGGCACAAATTCCAGTGGCTAGATGTGTTAAGCAAATCGATACATACTCCAAGAGACTTGCTCCTGTAATTTCGCAAATGGTAGCTCTACAAAGTATTTTAGTAGTGAATACTTATGCACACTCAAAATGTCAGGGTTTTTTGTCAAAATTATTGTTTGTCACAAAATTAGTTTACACCTACAAAGTGGTTAGTATGTTATGTACATCACATTGTACAAGCTACCCAAAATCCATTTTAATTTAAAACAGGAAAAACACCAACGAGTGAATACTTTTGCAAGGCACTCTTAGTGTATATATCTTAGTGTATGCCCAGCTCAAACTCTTTTTGCTGTTTTGGATAGAGTGGGAAAGGGTTGGAAGACCTGTCAGATTTACAAAGATTTATCCTCACTATCCTTGAGGTTAGTTAGGAGAACTTCCCAGAGGAATGCAAAAACTCCTGACAGATATTTATTTCTGTATATATTCTGTATATGTGTCCATGTTACAGATTTTTCCTAAAGTCCTATCTAGTAAAACCATTGTCAGTAGGACAGGAAGTGAGGGTCAATCTCTCCCAGAGCCACGGATGGAAGAAAAAAAAAATCTGACAGGAGCTTTAGACCTTACACATTTCATCCAAAACTAGAAAAAAATAGTTTTTGGCTTGACATACACATTAAAAATATAAATCCACTCAAAGCTAATGATTACTACTTAGCTGATTAGTAGATTAAATTACTATTTATTTGTCTTGGAAATTGTTGTACCAAGATCTGTGGACATGAATCCCAGAATCCACCTGACTGCTATGACCAGGAAAAAGGACTCTCCACTTATTTTATACTGCTGAGAATGTTGGAGGACTTGGACTAGCGATGGCTTATTTTCATTTGTGTGTTTTTTTTTCTTTACAGCTGTACCACATAAAATTGGCCGAATTATTGAGGGAAGCCCTGCAGACCGCTGTGGAAAGCTAAAAGTTGGAGACCGGATCTTAGCTGTGAATAGCCAGTCTATAATCAACATGCCTCATGCGGATATTGTTAAACTGATTAAAGATGCAGGTTTAAGTGTAACACTATGCATTGTTCCTCAGGAGGGTAGGTATCAGTAGCCATTAGTTCCAATTTATTGTATATGTTAGTCAATCTAATTTTACATTTATGGAACATCTTCTTTTAGACAAACATCAATACTGACATTAAACTACCTAATAACTAGAACTCATTATTTCTTACTAGAAATGTACTAGTTTACATGCCTCTGTCTTTTTTTTATGTTTGTCCAGCTGTAGTATAACAGTAAAGAATATGGATTTAGGTTTTGCTGGTCATACATATTGCATTAACTGCATGTGAAAGTCTTGTATGGAATCATGTATGGAATTAAAAATCTGCCAGGATCAAAACTGTATGTCATGTGACAACACAGACATCAAGGTCTGTTTAGTATTGCCCAGGTTAGAAGATATTGAACTAAGTTACATAATATTTGAGTTACATAATATTTGAGGTTGAATAAAGACATGAGTCCATCAAGTCCAACCTATTTTCATCTCATTCTTAGGAGTACCCCTGTATATTACGGTTTCTCAGGAAATCGTCCAAAAGTTTCTTAAACAATTCCACACTTTTAGTAGCAATCGCTGCCGGCGGCAGTGAGTTCCAGACCCTAACCGCTCTAACTGTGAAGAACCCCCCTTCGCCCCTTGTGCTTGAATTTTTTCCCCACTAATTTTAGGTGGTGACCTCTAGTTTTTGTAATGGGGTTAATCTTAAACAGTTTGTTGCTGATGCTGTTGTCAGCATTGAACATTTTATACATGAAAATCATATCCCCCTTAATCTCCTTACTTCCAGCGTGAACATGTTTACGTTCAGTAGCCTTGTGTCATAGCTCGGGTTCTCCATTCCCCTAATTAGTTTGGTTGCCCTCCGCTGGACTCTCTCCAGCTCAAGGACATCTTTTCTGAGTACTGGTGACAAAACTGTACCGCGTACTCCAGGTGAGGCCGAACCAGCGATCTATAAAGTGGTAAAATTATAGACTTGTCTCTACAATACATCCCCTTCTTAATACAGGATAAGACTCTACCTGCTTTGTTCACAGCAGCCTGGCACTGCAAGCTACCATTCAGTTTGTGGTCTACCATGACCCCCAAATCTTTTTCTATTTCTGACTTCCCTAGTGGGACACCCATAAGTGTATAACCCATTTGTTTATTTTTATTCCCAAAGTGCATTACTTTGCATTTATCGATATTAAACCTCATCTGCCATATACTTGCCCATTCCCCTATTTTATCCAGGTCCTCCTGTAGTGTTATACTGTCTTGGTCCGTTTCTAAGACCCTCCCTATTTGTGTATCGTCTGCAAACACTGAAACAATACTATTTACACCCTCCCCAATGTCGTTAATAAATAGATTGAACAATATGGGACCCAGCACAGAGCCCTGAGGCACACCGCTCATGACACTAGCCCAGTTTGAAAAGGTGCCATTTATGGATACTCTCTGGACACGTTCCCATAGCCAGTTCTCTATCCACGTACACACCACCTCATCTATGCCCATAGCTCTCAGCTTGTGTAGTAAGCATTTATGTGTTACCGTATCAAAAGCCTTTGAGAAATCCAGATATACCACATCCATCAGCCTCCTTCCATCTAGATCTCTACTTACCCCCTCATAAAAAGTTAGCAAGTTAGTCTGGCAGGAACAGTATTTCCTGAACCCATGCTGGTTGTCGTTGACTATGCCATTATTCTGAACAAATTCTACCAAATAGTCCTTAACCATGCCCTCTAGTAGTTTACGAATGACCGATGTAAGACTAACTGGTCTGTAGTTCCCCGGTTGGCATCTTGCCCCCTTTTTGAGCATTGGAACTACCGTAGCCCTCCGCCAATCACTTGGGACTCTACCAGTCCATAAGGAGTCCTTAAAAATAAGGAATAAAGGTCTTGTTATAACATCGTTTAGTTCCTTAAGTACCTTGGGGTGTAGATTATCAGGTCCCACTGCTTTAGTTGCATTAAGTAGTTTAAGTCTTTGTTGTATCCCGGTTTCCATCAACCACATAGGTATATTTTGTGTTGAACTATGCATTTTATCATCATTGGCGTCGAACCCGTTTCCCTCCTGAGTGTATACTGAGGAGAAAAAAGTGTTCAGCGCCTCGGCCCTCTCCTTGTCATTTGTGACTAACTTCCCGTTTTCGTCCTTTATTGGGCCTATCTGTTCCTTTCTCACCTTTTTACAATTAATTTATTGGTAGAATTTTTTTTTTTTTTTTAGTGACTGTGGCAATATGCTTTTCGCACTCTATTTTAGCCGCCCAAATTACTAGTTTGCATCTTTTATTAAATTCCTTGTAGTTAAGGAACGCCAGTGCCATCCCCTCCATCTTCTATTTTATAAATGCCACTCGCTTGGCCTTGATGTGTTGTTTTACAGTTTTATTTAGCCATATAGGTTTAGTCTCTGATCTTTTGCTTTTGTTACCCAAAGGTATGCACTTTTAATATATTACATATGGATATTTATATGCACAAATAACCATATGTAATGTGTTCTTAAAACTGTCCCACATCTGGTCCGAGTTTAGGTTGTGAAATAAGTTTTCCCATTTTATATCCCCCACTAGGTGGCGCAGCTTATTAAAGTTGGCCCTTCTGAAATGTAGGGTTCTTGTCCGTCCAGCCCACTTCTCTTTCCTGTATTCAATACTGAAAGTAATCACATTGTGATCACTATTACACAGTGTCTCCCCAATCACAATATTCTCAATTAACTCTGCATTATTAGTGACGATTAAATCTAGGATGGCATTTCTTCTAGTTTGAACCTCCACCATCTGTTCCATGAAATTGTCTCGCAACATGTTCATAAAACGACCCGACTTTGTAGAACCTGAGGTGCCATTGGCCCTATTTATGTCCGGGTAACTGAAGTCACCCATCACGACTACATTGCCCTCCCTCCCTGCTATTTCTATTTGGGAGTGTAGATTTGCTTCCGCCTCCTCCTCCTATATAGCAGATACCCACAATAAGTTTGCGGCTAGTGTCCGTCATTTCTAGATCTAGCCATAAGGTTTCCATGTCTACTCCATTATTTGACGTGATATCGTCCCTTATATGCATATTTAGATTATTTTTAACGTAGATACCAGGTTTCCGCTATATCCACTATATTGAAGTCCTCTTCGAGTATCATAATTTCAAGCTTTTCTAATGTATTTGCTAGACTTCTAGCGTTGGTGTACATACATTTAATTCCTGTCTTGTTATGGGACATAAGTTTATTTCCTTCTTGTTCTCCACTATTTGTATTATTCGGCCTTGATATAGGTCGTCCATTTCTAAATATATTTACTTGGATATAAATAGGTAAAGTAGGATTTACTACATATTTGACTATGTTAACTGTGTCGATTGGAGTGAGCCCACTATTTACCCCTCTGTTACTTCTTTCTGTATTATTTGTATCCGTGTTTAGTTTTACACCATTTAATTTATGTAATTTTATTTTTTCACCCTCTCCCCCCTTTATCTAGTTTTTAAAGCTCCTCCAGTCTTTCTACCATTTTTCCCCACAGAAATACTGCACCTTCCCCATTAAGGTGCAGCCCGTCTCAGCTGAAGAGCCGGTAGCTGACTGCGCAGTCAGCCCAGTTCTCCAGGAAACCAAATCCCTCCTTCTGACACCAGCTCCGGAGCCACTTGTTAACCTCCTTCAACTCACGCTGTCTGTCCAGAGTGGCTCGTGGCATCGGCAGTATCTCTGGGAGGTCCTTTCCTTTAGGTCTCTGAACTCCTTTTTTAGGACACAATTTCCTCCTATTTTGTCATTGGTGCCGATGTGCACCAAAGAAGTTCTCCATATGCTCCATTCATGTACCCTTAGTTTGATTTTTTCTTCTAATATATCATCACTTCAAGCTATATCATTGTCCATTGTATGGCTGAAGGAAAATACTTAATGGGTGAATGTAACACTTGAGGTCTGTTGAGAGCTACAGTTTTAAATAGCTGGGTATAAAGGGAATTAATAGAAAATCAGAATATCATAGCAGTTATGAATTGCGTAAAATAACTAGACATGTTTAAATCCTGAGACGTATTTCACAGAAAGACGGTGTTGAAAAGAAATACCCCATAATGGAATGTAAACAATATTTGACATTTAAAATATAATTCACCCCTGATTTTTCTTTTTACATGTTTTATCTTAAGTACTTTTAGGGGGAAAAAAATAGTTTTTTTATGTTTAACACTTCAACACTTATGTTTGACACTTTTGCCTTTTACAGATTTAAACAGCCCAGCGTCTGCACCCAGTTCGGAGAAGCAGAGTCCTATGGCCCAGCAACACAGCCCCATGGCGCAGCAGAGTCCAGTAGCCCAGCACAGTCCAGTAGCACAGCCTCCTCCCCCACAGCCATTACAATTGCAAGGTCACGAAAATAGGTAACTTTTATTAGGTCCATTAGTTTTCCTAGCAGGCACACAAATCTAAATGTCATCCTTTTTAATTAAGGCACAATATTCCTGGAGCTTATTTGCATTCCCATTGATATTTATATGATTGGTTTTGTGTGTTAGGAAATAATCTTCCATTCAAAGATCCTATGCAGTTATAAGTGGTCCTTCCACAAAATTCTTTGCAGGGTTAAATATGGAGCACTTTATTAAACTCAGATACTATTGTGCATGCTGAAGAACCATTAAGCAGTGAGCTTGATTTACCATGGGAGCAGAGCATTTTTACTTTCACTTGCACATGATTTTTTGCTTGCATGTTATTAGATACTTTGCAAAGCCAATTTTGACTTAGTATAGTGAATTTTGACTTAGTATAGTGAATTTTGAAAAGTTGTGCTGACTTCAATCATCCAGTCATTTGCAAGCAAAAGTCCAGTGAAAATTCACTTTGAAAGTTTAGTAAATCATGGTCAGCGTGTATTATCATCATAAGATCACAGCAAATGCAAGGGCCCATTCACACTGGTGTGGTAAGGTGATATTCATTAAAATGTGCGTATTAGCATGTGTTCTTAAAATGCACAGTAATATATGCACTGCAGTGCGGTGTCATTCATTTTGAATGTTACCCAAAGTAACTGTTACAGTAGTGGGTCACGCACCCCCACTGCAGCCCACTACAACACATATTGTGCAATGCAGTGTGCTGCATTAAAAAGCAGATATCCAATTTTCATGTGCTAAGGTTCGTTCCCATCCCATTTAAGATGAATAGGCTGCCTTAATCAGTGTGCCTTAATGCACATAACAGATTGTGTTAATGCACACATGTTAAGGTGACACTCAGTCTGATTGGCAAATCAGGGGATTTCTCAATTCAGAGACAGTTCTGAAAATCTTCCTCAGGCTTATGTGTGGAAGGCCAAATATGAATCTTTCATAAATAAACCTACATAGTTATAATCATTTCATACTGATTATTTAAGGTTTTGTAGAAGCCCAGTTGTAACTGATGGTTTTTATTACATTTTCTAAAATAAACTAAAAACAGCACTATAGGTATTTTTTAATTTGAGCGACTGTATATGTTTTATGCATTATCATTATATTTAGTTTTGAGAGCTAATGAGAGTTTAAAATAATCAATTGACAGCAATGGTTGTTATGACAAATAAAACATGCATTATAGAATTGAGCCTTACATCTATGCACAAGGTGGAGATATTCCTAAAATAACTGCCTGTAGTAATGTATTTCACAACCTCCTTGTATCTTTAAGTGATATCATTCTCTTTACAGTTACAGGTCAGAGGTAAAAGCCAGACAAGATGTAAAGCCAGACATTAGGCAGCCACCTTTTACAGACTACCGTCAGCCATCAGCGGATTATAGGCAGCCTCCTGTAGATTATAGACACCCACCAGTACTCGATTACCAGCAACCTCCTCCTTTGGACTACAGGCAACCTCCCCTAATAGATTACCGGCAACATTCTCCTGACACTAGGCAGTATCCACTCCCTGATTACCGACAGTTCCAGGTAAGTGTTTACATAATGCATGACATTTATTTGAAAACCTATAAGACACATTCATAAGTTCTCTGATAATGTATTTCCCAGCTTTATTTTTAGTATATGAAACTGGACTAGCAGTCTGCGAACTCTGGCTTTTGCCTGGAGGGATTCTAACTCAAAATATTTATAGGCTGACTGTTGGCATAAGTTCCTGTGGGCTACTCAGTTTCAGATAGGCCTGTTTTAATGCAACAAAATGTTTATATAGCTTGAAGCAAAATAAGCCACTTATTCTAATGTTATCAAAGTATGGAAAATGAATTACATAACTGTATCCACTAAAATCTCCTTTGTGGTTTAGTGGATGTGATGTGATATGTGAACTGTAAGCAGAAGTTTTGCCTTTTGGTTTAAGCATTTTGAAAAGAAACCATGTTTCCAGTTAGTTTAAAGTGGAACTACAACATCCTATCCCATACAGCCAAGAAAGATGTCATTTTAGCCTCTGTTTAAATTGCAGTTGCCATGGTTTTGCAAATGTAATCAGCTATGGCATCAGTCATTTGAGAGCTTGAAAGTTTGGTTGAGAACTGAAATAAGCAGAATGACAACCTTATAAGTTTGCATACCTTGAAAGTAACTGTTTTGGGAGACATTAAATTGGTGTGTCAAGTTCCGCTTTAAGAATATTTGAAATTACATTCTCAATTGACCGCTTAGTTGCACTGTTTTGGGCTTTTCAAATCTCAAATTTAAAATCAAAACACTACTTATTAATAGGTGTTTTTAATTGGGACATTGTTTTAAACTCTTGATATAATATCTTGCTATTTGTATTAAGAAAAAATGTGTACAGTTGTGGGAAACGTTTTGTGAATCTTCCAAGTGCTCTGTATTTCTGCATGAATGAATCAATGAGGTAGCGTTCTGTCACATTCAATAAATATTGACATGTCTTTATTGAAGAAGTGGTTTAAGTTGAGGTCATGGATGGAAAATGTTTGTGAACTTTTGCCATCTTGAAAAAATTGGTATTTGGAACCTGGCATCCTAATACAACCCATTGTTGGTTGGGGTTGCCTCGAAAGCAACTACTGTCCTTAGAAATGATTTTCTAGAGATCAATGCAAAGGTGCGTTGTCTAATCATCAAACATGTCACAAGGAACTCTGGAATAAGGCCTAAGAATCTGAGGTATCAATTGCACCTAATAACGTATGTGCTCTTGAGTTAATTAAATACTAAAAATACCAAACAAGGGCAGTGAGGCAACAAAGGTCATTCTAATAAAATTATACATAATTGTTAATCCAATTCTTTGAACGTTTACATTTTATGTTCAGTAAATATATACCAATGCGAACTATGTGCATTTGTTAAATAGGAACTCTATAGATGACATAGATGATGACCAGATTACCCTGTAGGAGCTATTTCTGCAAAAATGAATAACAATTTCCCCATTTGTTCAATTACACCTCAGTGATGTGAAACTTTGGGTTGGCATGATTGATAAAAGTTATGATACCAAAGCTTTTAGGCAACCATTAGTAAAAGTGAAACATCTAGGTAACAGACTTGCTGGTGAGGTTCCTCCTAAGTCCTACTGAATTTTTCTCTCACTTTCTGGTGCACACTTGACTGATCCAAACTCATGTTTATTGGGAAATGATTAGTAATAAGAGTGACAAAACCTTAAATGTGCACCCAGCCCAGTAGGTTCAAAACTGAAGGGCTGTTTTAATCTTAAATTTTCTATTCTTAGTTTTCAGATTTTTATTGATGATGCACAGTTTTTCATCAACTTGCTGGAAATTTGATAGAATGTAAGCAATGTTTAATAATGCATAGAATGTTCAAAACAATGATGAGCACCGATTGCATACTGAGCATTGTGAGAAAATCACAGCAAGCTTTAACCTATAACATATCTTAACTGCACATTGCAGGAATATGACTATTTCACAGTAGAGATGGAGAAGGGAGCTAAAGGATTCGGCTTCAGCATACGTGGAGGGAGAGAATACAAGATGGACTTGTATGTGCTCAGACTAGCAGAGGATGGCCCTGCAATACGAAATGGGAGAATGAGGGTAAGTTAATTTAGGTAGATTTATTCAAGAAAATGACTGTATGTATATACATACTTTCGAATTTAACCTAGGTAGAGGGTTAAATTCGCAATGTTGCATAGTATGCTAATAAAAAACAATCTGCTTTTAAGTGCACCTATCCTTCACTGATTCCCATTTATTTAATAAAGTGCATATAATGTGTATACAATCTAACTTATTATTATAAAGCAATGTTGTTGCAGGCTTTTGTATTGTCCATGTGAAATTATTGTGTGCAACAAAAAAAGTGATTGAGGTTGTCATGTGAAATTATTGTGTCCAACAAAAAAGGTGATTGAGGGCGCCATCTGTATGAAAAAGTTAATTTTTGCCTCTTGCACTCAAACACCATAAATCTTCTACAAAGGTGCAAAGATGAAGAATTTGAAAAGCAGAGAAGAGCTGTTTTGACTGCACCATGGGTGTTGAGCCAGACTGTAATGACATTGATTGTGCTGAGCAGAGACATTTTAGCACAGGAGTTTGGGATGAACTGCAGGTCTTCCACTCATGGATGTGACATCTGCAACTCTTGTTCCAATGTCATATATTCTCTGCATTAAAAAAAAAAAAGCCTTATTTGAGTGAAATGGTGATAGTGAGAAACAATGCCTGGATACATTTAGTTTAATACATTCACTGCCAGACCTGCTTTGCCAGAGACATGATGGGCCTATAAGTTCCCTAATGTCACCTCTGCTAAATAAACAGCAAAACAAGCACAGATTGTACTTCACTAACTTAATTTCCGGCCTCAGCAGGGAATGACAGCTCTGAAGCCAGAAGTGACATAAAGCTCATCTCTTCCAGTTTAATTCTACCCAGGGACAATCAGCAAATGGACATTTGCTGAGGTCACTCCACTCTCTCATGTGACAGCTGTATGGATGCCATGCACCCAGGATGGGCAGCTGAGCCTGGGGCACATGGCGGGTGGGTACCGTGATGCATTACCGCACACGTGAATCAGGAGGCTGTAAATCACTTCCACAAGAAAGCCGGCTATGGGAGCGAAAACAAAATCTCCACTACTATAGAAACAAGGAGTCTGTAGGTCGGTTTGGTTGGTGCTGCCAGAAATGTAGTACTTATGTCTGTGGCTCCAAAAATGTTAAAGTATATGTAAACCTAAAAACAAAAATATGATATATTGGAGTTTACTTTACACCTTCCCCTATGGTATGGAGATGAGAGTGGGAGGTGTTCTGTAGGACCTAACACACTTCCTGTCCTAGAGTATCAACACTGCTCCTCCATAGATACAGTGTGGGGAATAAGGATTGTCCTCCTAGCACAGAAAGTGTATTACTGGCAGCATCACCAGGTAGAAATAAATAGAATAAGCCTGAAAAAAAACCTAATACAGCCACCACATCTAAGAACAGGAAAGCTACAGCATTTTAAACTTTATCAGGTTTAGGTTTGGTTTAAGTATTTACACTAAGAATATCTCCTACAAGAAAGTGGTCAAGGGAACAAGTGTCCCTATTGGAAGATTTCCCCTCTATTTTCTGTTCAGGTGGTACCTCAAAATTTTGGACTTACCTATCATTTTCATTCCTGGTGGCATTGTATATGAGGATAATTAGAGAGAGTGAATCCCCCTAACAGGGTACAGACAACTGTAATAGCCTGACAGACCCCTCCTCACACTATATAATTCTAACTAAAAAAAAGAAAAAGATTTGCCTTTAGTTATACTTTACCACAGTAGAGTTTTGTGACATAATTTCGACTTCCATCAGTCCATGAGTCCATATTCAAGTCCAATCACAAAACTATTTTTTTTTAATTACTCTGTAATTTAGGAAATTAAACATATTGTTCTAGGGAGTTAATTTTGTTTAAATGAAATATTCAGAGTAAAATCTTGTCACATTAAGGTAGTAATAGGAAATGAACTGAGTTGAATTCTGCAGAGTATGGATATGAGGTCCCAGTAATATGGACAAAAAAAAATGTTTTTACATAAAGACCACCAAGGCATGATAGATGCATTTCTTCATTTTAAAGGGGACGCTGTCCTTTTTATATAGAGGATTTAAAGACGCATGTCATTAAATACGTGCTACTACTGTTTTTCAATCAATAATTAAAAACAGTGTTTTTTAAACTACTGGTATTATAAACCTAGTCAAAGCTCTAGATGTTTAATATCTACTCCCAGTGCTAAAAATAAAGTATTTCTCACATAACCTGATCTGAATGGCCATATTCATATTTACTTCTTCTAGGACAAATGCATTGAATGCCTTATACTTTAACTACTGACTTGCTTAGTAAATGAAATACATTTATTTATTTATGTATTTATTTAGTTATTTAGTTATGTATGTATGTATCCTGACTATGGAAGTGTGTTCATATTTTAAGCAAACAATATCATATTGTTGTGTAGGGCAAGGTTACTCCAGCACTTGCTTTGTGTAAGTTACCATTAAACCATTCGCTGCCAAGCCCTCCGGAACACTTTGCACCTCAGCTGGCCACACCATTTTTGCAATTTTTCCCATTGATTTGATTTTGAACTGCTGCGTTACTATCGTTAGTAAAAGACCCCGCAAACCATATATTTTCTGAGTAGCACAGGCCCTGTAGAATAAAAAGATGGTGCTACTAAATTTGTAGGCCCTGCGATAATTGCGTAAATGTTTCTCAAATTAATATTAAACCGATAAAAATACACAATTCAATTGATAAAGCACACTAAAATCAGTATCCGTGCACAAAAAAAATATTATTTTCAGACTAAATCTAAAAGACAAAACTATTGAGTTAAAAAATAACAAATATTTGCACAGTTAAAATTGCGCCTCATAAAAGGAGCGCAAAACTGTAAATAGTTAAAAGACTTATGTTAAAAATCGTTTTTGCGCTGTGTTGGTGTTTGTGTTGTGATTAAAATGATACAGGCGTATATTTAATTGCAACACAAGGTATCACAATGCATGACAATGTGTCACAAGGCTTTGCCATGTGCTGCCACAGTTAAAATAATGTTTTTTTTAAAGAAAAAAAGTAAAAATCATGCACTGCGTTCTAACAACGCACTGCAGCGCATGTGCATGCCATACACCACAATATGGTGCATGTGTATGTTATGTGGTGGGGGGGTGCGTTTTTTTATTATTAGTTAATTTTTTTTACACATTTTTTATTTATTTTTAAATAATTTAAAAAAAATTCTGTTGGGGGGGCTATGGTGAAATATCTGGGGTCTAAACAAAACCTTGACATTTCCCTTTGGAAATAGAAAACACAGAGTCCTCAATTTCTTTTTCTGCAGCTTTGGTTCTAAATGAATGGAAAGCACTCAGTACAGAGGCTTCCCATTCATTCAGAAACTGTTGATAGTAAAATATTTACTATCAACCAGTTTCTGAATGGGGAGAAGCCTTTGTAGTGCATGCTTCTCCATATTAAAAAAATCATGAATGAACAGGAAGTGATGTAATCATTCATAACTGGGGACACATAGTACTACATTGATCAGATGATTACTCTAGTGTTTGCTCTGAATAGAGGATCATAAATACCACAGATATTTACAGATCCTCCGCTCGGCCATGCACACAGCCGCTGTCAACCTGAAACTGACAGGATGACAGCGGCTCCTATCTCCTCTCCGCCCACTGATCTCATGTCACTCGATCATCGTGATCACGCCGCTGATGACCGCTATTAATTTAGTGGACCATCCGGGGAACAGTTCTGATATAAGTTCATGGTCGCTAAAGCGACCATGAGCTTATAGCAGAACGGTAAATGCCACCGACGTAAGCCATACTGACCTGGCAGTTTGAGAACAGTTTTGTTTCGCCGTATGCCTTACGTCGGTGGCAGGGAAAAGGTTAAAATATTCATGTGATATAGATCTGTATATGTACTGTTTCTTTGTAGCAGTTTGTGGATCATTTTTATTTGCATTTTTTAATGATATTTTTCATGCCCTTAAGAGATACTAGGTAACTCTCAGCATAACGAAATCTAATTATCCCTAATATTGTTGAGCACAGCTTCCATAGGGAAATTTAGTGTCTCAATATATATAAATGGGCTTTCTTCTCCAAACTCCTGTGCTCAGAGCAATTCTGTGTTAATCTGGATTCCATTTGTTGGAAGTTGCCCTTCCAAGAGTATAGAACTGTGAAGAATTAACTGTAGGCTTTATTTTACTTAATGCTTGAACTGTATTCATCTACTACTTCAGCTGATTTCTGCACTAAAGCTTTGACATGTTGTTCATTAACAGCTTGAGGGAGAAGTAAACATTCTTGGACTGCAATGTAACTAGTGAACTATCACTGGCTTCCATGGTTGCTTGATAAATTCAGTAACACATTAATGTGCCTTGTCAGAAGAAAACATTAAAACAATTGCTCCCCTGGACATTGTTCCATGGGCAGTCTCTTTATTGTTTTGTTTGGTTAAATAATAGATGTAACAGAGCTATAGTCTCTTATAATATGCATATCAGAAAAACAACAAGATTGGGAACACAGCAATGTCAAATATGACACAGAGTGCTATAATTCCAGTATAGCACAATCGTGTTAAGAAAAATGTTTTGTTACTCATAGCATTTTCATGTCTTTGCCAATGTCTTAGCTTTTTGTTAATTCTAAGCTTACCTAGTGGGTCAAAACTGAGCATCACGTAGAATGGAAATTACAGATACCTCAAAGGACACTGGATAGTGGAGTGCTAGAAAACATCTTCGGCCTATAGTTTTAGGGTAGTAAGTCCGAAATTGTTCAATATTGCATGCTAATTAACACATGATTATGTGGCCATCATTTTAATGCAGTGCTGAGGGATAATAATAAGTGCAGGAAGTCACCTCCACACATCTCTCCTCCATATACTGCCCACAGTAATACACTCTGAACTCCTTGAAATAAAGTGTAGTATTTCAAAACACAAATTGTGTTTATAATCAACAATTTTAATATGTTTTATTTTATTCTTTGCGACTACGTGGCCTTATAGTTTTTTCAATTTTTTTTAATGAATGGGAATGTGCAGGTGGGGTAGGCAGTATGGGGGGGTTGCTTTGCCCTGATATTAGGAGACATTTTCTGACATAACAGTACATAACATGATGTCAGAATCACAGAAGACGAAAACAGTCATCGATAACAATGGCTAAAGTCAGACTTTAGGTCAGAACATAGCTACGAGATTTCTTATCAATAATAATGGCTAAAGTCAGACTGCAGGTCAGTAGGTAGCTAAAAAAAATGTTTTTCCAATGACACCTTTCAACCTGTTTCTGCACTGGGCTTTTGAAAACAGGCACATGCTGGGGAATAAGGGTCGTTATATTGTTTATGTCAAATTCAAAACAGAAGGGGAGGCTGTTTAGGTTGCAATAAGTCTCAAGGATCTTGGTCTCTAAAGTGAACCTTTACTCAATGATAAACGTAATGTTATATTAACAGTCTTTCTAAGATGGCTAAATAAATAACACTAAATGGACTTCAATATTCATTCTTACTCAAGTAAATGCTACTGTAGGCTCCTTCAGTACTTGTTTTATGACTAAAAGCCTAGGCCTTGGTCACATGTTCTCGGTTTAGAGGAACCAATCTGAAGTTTGATCTTCACATTCAACAGAGATCTCAAGCTTTTCCCAAGCCCAAGCTTTTCGTTTTGTAGCAATGAAAAGGAAGCCTGGAAAAGGCATTCTCTTTAGAAAAGGCAACTCATTTAGTGCTTATATCATACTTTATTTGTCCATGACGGCAAAACCATTAACATACCTTACATACATTTCAGTTGAAATCCACTTTGAAGGAAATTCCCACCCTAAAACTGGACTAAGCACTACATACAGATGATCATGTCAAATATTTGTGACTATTTCACTGACTAGGGTAGTCTAGGGTAGATGCCCCCATGATTCACTGTGTATGTATTGTGTATAAAATGTCCTCACAACACAATCTATTTAGAAAAGCTACATTATTTTATGTAAAAACCAACCAGTTTCTCATAATGCCCACACAGCGCTGTCATTAAGAGATTGGAATTTTAGCTGTTTTGTGGCCATTTCACATCCTAAGTACTGTATGTCATGGCAGAGCAGCTCTGAACAAGAAAAAAGTACAATGGGAGCTTACCTTATTTCCTTTATTCTTTCAAAATTGTGCTGTCAGCCTGCATGATGTCATAAGGAGGGGACAGACAAAACATGAATGGAGGCAAATCCTAAACTATATAGTTGTTCATCTTCTATAGGTGGTTATATTTTATCAGATTATGTTTATGTTTAAACAAGAGCTGTTGAAGAGGAAATTAACTATGGTATATGTGCCCAAAATAAGGCACATAGAGGGAAAAGAACCAGTCACCATTATTGCCTGTGGTCTCCCTGCAGCTAACCTTTCCCCATTACTGACTTGCCATGCCGCCTTCTGCACTGTGTCTCCGTGTGTGAGGCAGCAATCTTGGCAGGGCTTTGCTTCCTCACTGCAGGGCCTCCAGCAAGAACAGAGAGCAGCACAGTAGTGACATCACCAAACCTTGAGAGACTAGCAGTCAGAGGCACACTCACATACCGAAAAGTGCATTTGCTTGTTTGATGAAAGAAGTCTGTTTATGCAGCACAATGACCCATCAGCAGTAACCAAGTCCAAGGTTTCAGCCAGGCAAATTGTACCTTAAAACATGCAGTTCTGCTATGCTGTCTCTTAGGCTAACACATGGTGCTTTGGGAATTGTCTGTAATAGATTCAATGTATAAATAAATGTAACAATAAATATAAGCTTAGTGACACACTATGGGGCATATGTATAAAAGCAGTATATGTGACTTTCACCAAACATTTGCTGGTGGGGAATAGTTTATTTAAAACACATTCACCTGGAATATTCGCCTGCAATAAATGTTTGATTATTGTCAGATTCACTGCTTTAAGGCTTGTTCACGTAAGTGGTACTCGTGTTAGCCAAACTACTTTTAAGTACATTTGTGTACGAGGCAACAATATAAGAAACAAACAATTTGGACAATTTTGGTAAATTTAGAGTCTAATAAACTTTTGCAAGAAAATCTAGCAAAGAAAAACAGGATAAAAAAGGAATAAATACATCCAGAGGCAGATATGTCACATCATTAACTTCACATCACACTAGAAATTGTATTTATGCCACTTTCATATATAAGGGCATCAATATTGTTGTTTGAAGATACAACATAAACAAATGAGATATGAATATCTGTCATAATTCAGTTGTGAGAAAAAAACAAGAAATAATCATATTATACTGTTTCAATACACTTAGATCAAAATGTCAGTTCTTCTCATCTCACTATGTGTGTTTAGCCTGTGCAGAGTAAAAATAAATGTGCTCATGCGGTAGAAGTTGGTTACTAGCTATTATTTTTTTTATTTTTATTTTTTTCATTGTTATTTAATAAAGGTAATATAATGCAAATGTTAGGTAAAATGAAAATAAGAAATGTGTACCTTTTGTGCAGTTATTTGTAGATATTTAAACATTACATTTATTAAGCGCAAAAAACATAACTTCAGTCAATATGTACCTATCATGGACATGTACATATCACATACGCTCGTGTTACCTATGCAGACTGTGTAAAACTCCAGTGTACAATTTAGACTTCTGGGACCACACAAGGAAATTGGAAAAACTATTTTTCTGATTACCATTGTATGTCTTGGACAAAGAGTACATAAGCTGTGGATCTGTTTCCCAGATGGCATCCTAGAATTACTACTTGCGTTTGGTTATAGAATAAGCGTGTTGGGCTTTTTTGCAAAGTGGCATATGAGGGTTTTACCTTAAAGAGGTAGATCTTGAAATCTGGAAGCTGTACCACAAAAAAGGCAGGCAGAGGACAAATGACTAGTAATCAGTAATGCCTGTGGTCTCGCTGCAGCAGATTTTTCCACCATTACTGGCCCTTTTTACACTGTGTATTTGTGTGCAGGTGGCCATATTGGTAGAGGCAAGGTTTTACTCCTTTATGCCAGAGCCTCCAGCAAGGAGAACAGTTAGTAGCACAGTAGTGATATCAGTAAATCTTCCTCCACAATCTCCTAAAACTAACAATCATAGACAGCAGTACCTGATTTAACACTGGAGATAAGCATGCCTAAGCATATTCACATACAGGGACGGGCATTGATATTTTTCAGGAGGAAATCAAGATAAAAGGTATATTTGATCTCAGTTACTGCTTAGGCCACGTTACATTTATAAATGTTCCCTATAACATATTAAATCTTTTAAATTTCTGATGTTTTCTAGGAAATGGTTTATCTTGTGAGGTTAGGCTATGTATGATTAAAGCAGATTAGAGCAGCTAATGGCCTTCTGCTGCTACTAATTACCAGTTATGCTTCCTTAATATTTAGTACCACTTTGTGTGAATTAATAAATTACTACCGAAAGCATTTTCCTTTTTTCGCCCTTGTGATTAGTAAATGTCACAGAATCATCTTTTCCATATCTTTCTAAAGCTGATCATGTCCTTTACAATTTTTGCAATCTCCACTAGTGACTGTACAGCGAGTACCAGTGCAACGAGTGCCAGTGCCATCCAGTACTAGTGACTACACAGCGAGTACCAGTGCATTCCAGTACCATTGCCTATACAACGATTATAGGTGTCACTCCTTACCAGTGCCTTTTTATAGAGTCAAACATTTTTTTTTAAATGAAATACCTCCAAAAGATATCTCTATTGATCTGAAAAATTATAACATTTATTTGGGTACAGTGTTGAATGACTGCGTAATTGTCAGTCAAACTGTCACAGCACTCAAAACTATAAATGGCCTGGACAGGAAGGGGAAGTAACATATTGGTCTGAAGTGATTAAATTAATGTTAAGGGTCAGATATATGTAAGGAAACACTTCTTTTTAAACTTGTTTTTTACATCAAGAGCCCTGTGCCACGTTCCAGAAGCCAAAATCAAAATACTGACCTCCCTAGGCATAGACCTGGCAAATTCATTCCTGCTTACAGTAAAAAGGAACCCTGCACGTTTTGCTTTAAATCACTTGCAGGACTTCCAATTGCATCTCAACATCAAAAACAGACTCCGATTTGGTGTATTATAGATGAGATTGAAAACATTGCAAGAGCCTGTTGTACCGCATTGTTGTTGACAACTGAATTGAACAGCTGAACTTTCTAAAGCTCCAGTTAATTATCTTGAATTATATAGTTTACTGGAGACAGAGTTGTCTAAGCCATCACAGCACATTTGCCTTGATGTTTGACTAGCATGTCTTTTTGTAACATGTTGAGCAAAATGTTATTCTTTGAAAATACACATTTTATTAAACTCCTTGCTTTATTTGATCTATTTTTATTTTTATTTACTTGACAGGTCGGTGATCAAATCATAGAAATCAACGGGGAAAGCACACGAGACATGACACATGCTAGAGCAATAGAACTCATTAAATCTGGAGGAAGAAGAGTAAAGCTGTTACTAAAGCGTGGAACAGGGCAGGTCCCGGAGTATGGTGGGTTTTCAGACTCCTAATGTATTCTTTGCACATAAACTGTTGAGGAAATGTTTATACTTTTTATGGAAATACATTTATAGCTCAGACTATAAATAATTTATGAGCGCCACAGATGAAAGCCTCCTAAGAAGTCATTGTTCATGTAGTACAAACACCCTTCACTGAATATTGGCATCTGAGTGTAGCAGAAGTTAAATCACTCTGCAGTTTGTACCTTGGTCCAGAGGATAATATTGTAGTACTTTGTATTTTTGAAATGCGTGTTGCATATTTAAAAGCAGCAATGCCGATAGGTAATATGACAGTGAATTTAAGAAAAACTCAAATCTGTGTGGCCAGAAACATTCAGTATTAAGCTGTACAGATAAAACTAATGTACCGTATGTCAAGAGGATTTGTAGAAGTCCATCCAAAACTAGTCATTTAAATGCGTCTCAAATGTAGCTAAAGTTTAGGCAAATAGCTAAATATGCAGGTTAAATACATATAAGGCCGTTTTACTGCTGATGGATTTGTATTTCTGTCCATGCATTCCTGTCGTTTACAGAGCTCTGCCACTGCACACCCCTGGATGTCAAAAGACCTGAATCTTCTCTACTGCGGTCAACTAATACAACCAGGCCTTGTCCCTTAACTATACAATGAATCGTAAGCAGCAGTAGTGACGAACTAAGCTCACTGTCACTATGCTCTCTCTGCCCGTCAGCATATACCTTGTTAGCATATGTGCACTGCAACACAACTGATTGGCTTTTTGTTCTGCTTCTCCCTCTCTCAGTCTAACCTTTGCCTCATTTGCATCAGTGGGCACACATTATATTGCACATAACACATGCCCAATGGTGTGCAATTAATGTTCATTGGGCTGCAATGCATAGTTACAGTACAGCACAGTACTTAATCCCCCCCCCCCCCCCCCTTTTT